TATATATATATATTGAAAATAGATTTGTGTTTTAATCCGATTAAATTTATAATATATAGAAGGTTAATATATAGAGTGTTATCAATTATTGATTGCGATCCTAATATGTTTGTTGAAACCGAGAGGAAAATTGCATGCAGCTTTTATCAGTATTAAAATCTGCGTAAATAATTGTTTTTTGATGCGAATTGCTGAGTATTTGAGAACAAAAAAAACAGCGAAAAACTAGGAAAATGTTCCCAGAATTGTTTATTCTGCTCACGTAACAGAAATAATTAAATTGCCTTCTATCATATATCTTTTGCGACAGAAAAAGACTGTTGTTGACGAAGTGAGAATCTTTCTCTCATATCTATTCATAAATATGCTTTGATAAGGGTCGTGATTATTTGCGACTTACCCTCCGGAATAACGTACGAAGCTTGATTGACATTCGATTTTTCTCGTTCTTTATCGCAGAAAGCCTTTGCGGGCGTCACGAGAAACGCTTACTGAATCATCTGCTGGCAAATTACAACACCTTGGAGCGACCGGTCGCGAATGAAAGCGAACCACTGGAGGTGAGGTTTGGCATCACTCTGCAGCAAATCATCGACGTGGTAAGTTATCAAAACAATTCCTTTGTCGCATATTTTAAGTGGCCCTTAACTTATATTATTTATACAATATTTATTGATGCTCTCTTTAATGGAATCCTAAATTGAAGAATGAACTTTGACATTGTTGTTGTACTGACACATAGATTTTATAACACATACGATTACAATACGTACGATTTACGAAATATCGACAGATTGCTACATATTACATCAATGTTGTAACATGTAATTTTCACGCAATCTTTTTTCTTATACTCAAGCTTTTAGGTTTATTTCTGAAAAAGTATTTTTTTTTTTGTGTGATCCGAGTACAACTTTGTCCGTATGAAATAAAACTTTATTTGAAATATATATTACAAATTGATGTCAGAAATTGATTGCAAGACTAATTTTCTAATTTTTATTCATATAAAATCATATTCGATCCGAGCTGTGTTATTATCTATATTTTTAATTCTGGAGAATTTTTTTTACATCTGTTAAAGTAATATTATACATAAAAATGATATAAAAATTATTATGCGTTCGATCGATAAAACAGACGACTTTAGGATCCTCTTAAACAATTCGAAACAATCTCAATATAATCTCCTAACGATATTATCCAGACAATTAATATTGTATAATAATATTGACTAGGAGTCGCTTTAGATATATTATACACAAAACACACACATATCTCAGAACACATTTACTTTAATATCATTATTGAAATCGTTATATCGATTATTTTAATACATCATGATTAAAGTCAAAATACACATTTGATTAGTTGAATATGTAATATTGCTAACATTGATAGCACATAACAACATATAAAACATATTTATAGATATATAGATACAAGTATTTAAATTGAAATCTTTTTATACCTATCTATTTAGATAGTACTATAGGTACGATAATGTAATTGTAATGTAATTTCTGCTAGAGTATCTAAGATACTTTTGAGATTCCAAGATTTCCAAAAGTATCTAAGATACTTAGATACTTTTGGAAATCTAGATAATTAAATATCTTTAGCGATTAAACTTAATTTACTTTTGGAAGTATAATATCTAGATATTTAAGTACTTTGGTGGAATTGCATATCATACCTAAGTACGGAGATCTCAATTTAGGTAATTGTACTTATGTATCTAGGTATGTTTCAACACTGCATATAAAGTTGGTTATATTAGCCATAGTTGCTTATCGTAAGCATAGTGAAGATTAGATCCACGAATTCGCGGATGTCAAATCTTAAAGGTGAATATCCACTATGAAGCAACTATTCTGCAATCTCCGTGTGAACTCTCGAGATAAGAAGCGCCAAGATTAGCCGCGCAAGTTTTTGCACGTCAAAATATCGGGCTTATCTAAATGAGAGTATAGTTAAGCGAGGACGAATGAGGTAAGATTGCATTACGTTCTCCATCTTCGCACTCCTCTCACCGTGGTTATTTATTTTTTTTTTCCAGCAGCATATACAACATATATTATGTACGTACTGTCTATATACGCAGTATATAATGCAACGTTACGGGTATATAACGCTACGTTCTTAAGAAAAGATCTGAAAACGCATTCGTGGTAAAATACGCTAACAAAACAAAAAAGAATTCAGCGTACAGCCGTTCATTTTGTATTAAAAAAAAATTTTGTTCTACGAAATGTTACGTAAGAAGCTCACTGAATTTTTTCACGAATTATTCATGAATTCCGAAAAAAAAACAAATGAAATTGTAATTCAATTTTACATGAAAACTAAAAATTATTACGTGCACATTCTCATTCGGGATATATTGTATTATAGACAAGAAACAATTCGAGTTGAAATGTTTCGATTTGGATGAGAAGCACGTCGGATGTCAATTCTTGGCAAGAAAAGAATACATATATTTTCTGTGTGTACGGCAAAATATTAATAAATCCTATCTAAATAACTTTCCGTTCGTAGCAATCGTACATATTAAATTTTCATCGATTGCGACATCGTGTATATCTTTTTCGTATCTTGATATTTTCTGATGCATGCATATTATATCGATCAAGCTTGAAATTGGAAGCGTATTGAATGATCCCCGTAGACCAGTTGAAAAATAAGTCGATAAGAATCGTTCTAGTTGTGAGCATTATCGTGATTCGTATATAAATAACATACCGATTGATTAATATTTGATGAATATAACGAATGGACAACATCCAAATGTGCATTAAGAATTTACGATGCGGGAGTTTTTTCCCCGATCCCCGATTACAATTATAAATGGACTGGGAGAAAGTATGTCGAGATACTTGCAATCCACTTCGGTTCCACCAACCTGACGGGAATAATATATAGCTGGGATTAAAGAAACCGATTGGAGGTGTTTCCTCTCAAAACATCCTTATGGTCAGAGTTAACGGCCGAGGGAATATATCCGTCACGCTGAGCCTCTTTATACCACAGGTTTCTGATATACGTTTCACTTGCAACGAAGACTGTAAGATTTTACAACGTTTTATGTACATCCTTCTCAAATGCTTCGCCTTCATTTTGAATAATAAAGTTTATTTAGATATTTTTCTTACTATTTATCTCAATATGTCTTAATATGAATATAAATGTAAGATTGACGCGACTTAATTATAAAAGTACAATACATATTGTTTACAGCAAACGCGAGCCGCGCACATGCCGTGCATGTCGTCGGAGCATTTCTTTTATTTATTCACAAAGGATATGATTATCCGGATAACATGAGCCTTTATCTTTCTTATTCGGTTTCATGCCATCATCATTATTATTATTATTCTCATTGTTAGAGTTATATTCCGCCATAGCTTTTCCTTTAGAAGTTCATACAATCTGATATATTTTCTGTAAAAACAAAAGACCGCTATGTGTTCTGGACATTAAGAGCACAGACATTTCCAGAGCGAACTCTCTTTCTTCTCTCTAGTAGCAAAACATATTCCATTACAACCCCTGCTTGCCACCCTTACGTCGTCGTTTCGCTAAGTCGCATCACTCAACTCACTGTGCTTTTTGCTATTGCCCTTTTCAAAGTATCGTTGCCTTTGGAAACGAAGGCTGTATCTGTAGTTTTCTTATTTGGTGTGAGATGCAACAAGAAATCCGGCAACGTTAATGAATTAATTCATAAATCTTACAGTGCAAAATTTTTCTATTTCTTTCGAATAAAAGCCGTGAATTATTTTCTTTATATAGTTCATGCAATAATTAACATTATAATTCGTCATTTAATATTTTACAATTAAAATGTACATGATATTATTATTATTATTATTATTATTATTATTATTTTACAAATTTCACTGTTTATTTTTTAAATATTTATTTTTATATTCTACCTAATAAAAAATTTAGTAATATGTAAAATGTACTTTAAATATTTATTTCGTTATCACTCTTATCGATAAATAATTAAATTAAAATAAATGTTAAACAAAAATATTAAAGCAACTTTTAAAAATTATATTAAAAATATAAAAATAAAATAAATTTTGGTATTATTAAATAGCGATTATGTTATGTTTCAAAATTTGTGGGATTTAATCAGTTTGTGATGCAAATAAAGCCAGCATTGAATTAATCGTATTAAGAATATTAATATCTCTATGTTTAATTAATGCATTAATGTAATATTCACATAGGTACGTAAATAAAAATAAATCGAGCAATATTGTATATTACACAATTATTATGGATAAGCGTCACGTTATTCATGATCGTGAAACATAAACAATACAGTTACGAGGTGAATTCCTTTGATGACTAATTAAGAAAATTGAAATCCATTGATATTTCATCTAACCTTAGATCATAGATAGGGACTAATAATTAGTATAATTTCTATTAGAGAAAGAAACATACCTTTTAGCTATTTCTCTTTTTCATAGTATACTGGAAATGTATAATATGTTGTGCATATCTGTTAAGCACATTAAAATTATATCAAAATTAAAAATAACATGGTGATCATTAAAATTGTGTTGAAAATAAAGTATTATATTATTTTCTCCTTTTGACCGTTTTTGTGATTAAGGTCAGATATTTAAGACTCAATTTTACTCGAGTTATTATATAAACCAGTTTACAAGTATCAGCATGAACGCATTAACCATCGAAGGGAAAATATTTCTCATGGAATGCTTCTACAATATAGGATGCAAAAACTATACAGAAGTGTATCATAGATTCCATAATAAATATGGATCAAGCAAAAGAACACACAAAAGACACCTTGCGAAGTTTCAAATTTTATGAAATTCTATATACACATATAGATTATGTAAATAGATAAATTTAGAAAATATTAGTTAGTGTGAAAAAACGGGATGAAATTATTATTTTTAGGGAACGTTTTTAATTACTTTTGTTATATTTCCAAAATAATTCAAGATATTAAAATATGTTTTGTAAAAATTTTATAATAAAGTTATCACTATTCACTTACATTAAAAATATTTTTAAGTTTTTTTATTTTGTAAAATTTTGAATGTCTTTCTTTCGGCGGTTAATGTGCTCATAAACTGGCTTGTACAAATGAAATTGATGAGTTTTAAATCCTGATACTAATCAGAAAAATGGTCACCTAAACGAAGGAAGAAAAATGTAACAGTTTATCTCTTTTGTTTTACTTACAACATACTCCTAATGGTTACTCTATATTGTGACAAAAATAGACGGAGACTTCTTTATGAAGGATATGGAGCTTTTCACACCAAGAATTCCTGTGAATATTGAATTTCACATCCAGAATTCCGGGTATTTAAAAAAAATACATTAATTTTTGACAAATTTAAAAAATTTTGAGTAATTTAACAAAAAACAGTATCTGGCTAGGGTATATATGTAGAACATATGTCGCACATACAACAAAAGAGATAAAATATTTGTGTTATTTTGAAATTATTCTCCTCTCCTCGTTTGGATGAGGTATTCTATACCTAAAAAAAATCAGAAGTGTCCGTTTCTTCTAATAAAACACGAAATAAATTTTTTTTTAAACATA